TTTTCGCCGACCGAAATCCGCCGTCCGACGGACTGGGACGCGACACCAACCGTTGCTCCCCGTTGCCGGGACACCGGAGGACCGTTGGGGGCTTTTTGGTGGAGCCAACTGGAACAAGTAGCCGGGGCTAACGTTTGTTATAGTTGGCTCCCTCTGTGGCGAGCTGCGTCGTGTTGCCTGGCGTCTTCTCTTTTCTTTTCTTTTCTCTTTTCTTTATTTTTTTTAAAACTTCTGACTTGCAGAAAATGTTGTCCATCGGTCTCGAAAGCCCCTCCGTGCCTCGGACGATCGACTTGGTGAGTATTTTCCTGTCATGTTTTTAACTTGAATCGATGGTCGACCCCCCCCCCCCCCCCCCCCCCCTCCCCCCCCTAAAAAAAAAAAAAAGGCCCATCGTGATTAGTGTTTTCTGGCATCAGATGATTTCATACACGCAATCAAATTCCTCAATGGTCAGCTGGATCCGATTCGGATCGAAAAAACCACAAGTTCCCACTCACTTTTACGGCCCCTGAAGCAGACAGGCTTGTAAAACGACGGGGGCTCGAGCGATGGAAATGATGTTTGACTCTTTAAAACAATAATGTAATTCACGAGTTGTCACAGTAGTCATGGGGGGGAGGAAAGGAGGGAGGGAGGGAGGGAGGGAGGAGGGGGGGTGAACACGTCGGAAAAACTGATTTGGATCATTTTTTGGGGGGGGAGGAAACATTAGCAGAAGGCAGGGAGAAACCCACCAGAGGCGTGTGGCTATTTTAATGCGATTTGTGAACGAGAGTTGTCCTGATCTCGGTTGGAAATGTAACATGGGGGGGTGAGGGTTGGGGTGGAGGTGGGGGGGGGGGGATCATATGCTTTGGGTGTGTGGCTGAACAGTGCCAGGCTGCTCCTGTGGTCTGCCAGGGAACTGCCTGGCCTGGCCTGGCTCGGCCTGGATCTGGATCCCACACTGCGTGTCTCCTCTTCTTTATGATCTAATCCACACAACACCCACCCAGGAAGGGTGGGGGGGGGAGAAGGGGAGGTGTCATGTCGTTGGGGACTGGCTTACCTCGTCTGTATTGCTTCATAATTCTGGGTAAAAAGAGGCTCCTGGCCTGGATCAGGACAATAAACCGGGCTTCTGGAGCCTTCCCGTGACTATCTGAACACTTTTGGCCTTTGTGGGGCTGAGCCCTCCCACCTGACACTTTTGCACGTTTAGCTAAACCTGTGAGAGGTATAGGTATAGTTTTTTTTAACATTTATTATATATATTTTTTGCCAATAGTACGCGTCAAGGTTAAAAACACTTAATATATATACATTTCAACCTACCTAATGCCATTTTTTTAGTCCCAGAGTCACTGGATCAACAAGCTTTGTCCCCAAGAGTTTAAGATTTTAACTATATTCTGTATAAAACGCATAGATATCAGATGATCTAAAGTAGGTTTGCTGAGTTTAAGCTCTTTCATACAGAGAAAAAACATCCACCGATAAAATGTACACCCTCAAAGTCCAGATTAACACAGTCAGAAAGCAGAACAGGTGAGACTTCCTCCTCCTTTTTATCCATTTTTCTGCAGTCGGACATCTGAGAAGCCTCCTCTTCAGCTTTTCTGGGTTTGGGGTTTAGGTTTGGGCATTTCTATTGTTTGGAAAGCTGCAAAATGCTAATACATCAGTCACAAATAGACATAAAGTGCTTTTTCTTTTTTTTTTATTTGATAAGTGAACGTTTTGGCTTTGATTCAATTCTTGATATTTTAGTCCATAATGAAGCACTTGAAGTTTTGTATTCCTAAACATGGATCAAATCAGCCCATACTTTTGCTTTTGCTCTTGATTGACATCTTGATTACTTTTCTAATAAAATCATAATAAATAATAATAAAATTCAGGCTAGAGCCTCCTCATGGACATTTTTAATTTCCTATTTCCACCAAAGATTTCGGTCAGATTGAGTTCTTGGTTCATTCCTGATGAGCTTTTGAGGGCTCTTTGCTTTGTGGTACCATCATCCAGAAAATGAACCGAACCCTCAAAGCTCCTTTTGGCTCCAAAGCTGAGAAACGAGCCCAAAGGTCAAAGTTCACCTCTGCATTTTCCTCACAGGCTGCCATCTTCCTGCTCATTAATCGTTAGTGGTGGTGGAAACCTGCTCGGTGCTTTTGGGCCCATGTTCAGCTCATTTGGCTCTGGAAGTGCTCTCATTAATATTTGGACTTGATTAGGAAGTGCAGATTACCAAAGGTATTCATCATGTTTTCCACTCTGCTTCATCATGATTGGGGAAATAAAAGCTAATTTATGGCAAGATTTTATATTTTGCAAATGTTTTGTTTTACTGGAAGCATAAGCCGAGTGGACATCTTTCCGGCATGCTGATTTAGTTTTTTCAGTGGATATGAATTGGCTTGAATGGTGGCCTCTGCCTCATAAATTAACAGAAAAATGCAACAATTTTTGTCGCTCTGGGGAGTTGGCGTTTTCCTGCCTGAGAACCAGCAACTAGAATGACCTGAACCCCCTCATTTCAGCTTTAACTATCATCAAATCAGCTCATGTACACTGACATGAATTCACTGACCTTTGTTGTTGCAGCACAGACTATTGAAGGTAAATAACTGGAAAGAAATCCACTGATAAACTGTCCAGGAGCATATCTGACATTGTATGGTCTGCTTACCTGGGAAGAGGTTTTCAAACCTCCCATGGATTTGACCCCCGACAGGCACCAAAGTTAAAGAAAAGGCTGTGAGCTGAACCTGAGGTGGAGGTTAGAGCTTCTGATGTCCACAGATGGTATTTTGTATCGCCTCACTCTGAGAAATCCCCTTTGCTCGACAGGTTCTGACCCAAAGAAGGGTCCAAAGATGCAAAACAAAAGGCACAACCATTGGATACTGTTTTAGAAAAAGCTATTAGTATATTATATAAGGTCATAGTGTTTCTTTGGGAGGACAAAACTGGATTTTGTCTATTAAATGATGGCTAAAACAGAAAGATTGGAAGTTTTGACAACAGCTCATATCCTAAACCTCAAGTTAAGTCCTCGTGTTACTGTTTTTCTTTTCCTTTTTCTCACAGTGTTTGGATTAAACTGTTTTTCTTTTCCTTTTGCTCACAGTGTTTGGATTTAATGATGAAGACAAAACCTCTTCCACCCCCTTTGGACCCGGGATGAGCACAGTTCCATTAAAGCAACAGGTAAGAGGCTTTTTAACCTTTTTAAAATAGTCTGGGCTTGTCTGTGTTGAATGTTTGTGCAGAAGTCCCGATTCAGCTCTGCGTCCTCCCCCCCAAAAATCACGATAAAGCAAAAATGAAAAGGCCTGAGCTCCTTCTCGGCGGGGAAGGCGTTTTTTTTTGTTGTGGTTCATTTGCATGTGGCGCCAGAAGGAGGCAGCAGCGTGCGCTCGGCGGGAGCCTTTCACCTGGAGGAAAACACCTTTTTAATACCTGTGGTGGCACTTATGTGGGGCTGACGCGGTTCACTGGGTCTGAGTTGTTCTGCAGCTGTGGGGGCAGGAACACTTACCTCAGGAGACTCATTCTCCCAGCTTTGCACCAAAGCACATATAGATTTTTAGCTTTAATCCACTTGACTTTTAATCGTTTGGTTGCAAATAAAGGACAGATTTTGCGCTGCGAGTGATTTCTTTAAGGTTTTTTTAGGCACTTTAAGACAGTGATGCTGTTTCCTAAATAAATTAGGTCAGAAAAACATCCTATATTTATTTATTGATATGTATATTTAAAATGTATTCAACGCAGTAGCTTTGATTTGTCTACACTTCAATGATAACACGCTTGGAAATTATCTTGGACAAGATTCAATGCTTGATTTAGTGTTTACGAGTATTTAAAAGAGTGTGGGTGTGCGCATAGTTTTAAATCAAATATATTTTTAGCTTTAAAAAAATTATCTATCTTTTTGTTTTCATTTATTTTCCCAGGTCTTATCATAAAACGTCTCCATAATTTTTTATTTGTAATATGACTAAAAATGACATCCCTGTTTTGTGAAACTTAATTTTATATTATTCATGTTTTTTTTTTAGTCCTTCGGGGTTATTTTTGAAAGGTTTAAGTAATTTCGCTTTTATATATTTAATTTATTTTTAGCTTTAAAAAATTCAAAAACGTTTATCTTTTTTTTTGTTTTCATTTATTTTCCCAGGTCTTATCATAAAACGTCTCCAAATTTTTTTTATTTGTAATATGATTAAAAATGCCAACCCTGTTTTGTGTAACTTAATTTTATAACATTCATGTTATTTTACTCATTCGGGGGTTATTTTTCTGGGTTTAAGTAATTTTGCTTTTATATATTTATTTTAATTTAATTTTAGCTTTAAAAAAATTAAAAAACGTTAATCTATCTTTTTATTTTCATAGTTCTTATCATAAAACGTCTCCATACTTTTTTATTCATAATATGATTAAAAATGCCATCCCTGTTTTGTGTAACTTAATATTATATATCATGGATGTTACTTTATTTATTCGGGGTTATTTTTCAAGGTTTAAGTATTTTTTTTTTATATTTCTTTTAATTAATTAATTTTATTTCGTCATTGCCTCGCGTTTATATTTCAATAATTTATTCCATCAATGTGTGTAGAGGAGTTAGTTAGCAGAAGTGCCCCCTTCCCCCCACCCCGGCAACGCGCAAGCGCCCGGGACCGTGCGGGAATGGTCGGTGTGCGAACTGGGGGTTGGACCGCTCCGAGCCAAACGGAGCAAAAGAGTTTTAAATGTCCGCCATGTTGTCCATGGCGCACTGAACCAACGGTAGGGAGCGGAGCGTCGGAAAAAAACAGTCCGAGAGAGAGCGACCAAGATCCGGGCCTTCACCGGGCTCCGCTGGCGACGCCCTAAATCCTGGCCACCGCCATTCGAACGTTAGAACTGAGACCAACCGCCCAGAATCATCCATGAAAGCTCCAGTTGGAACCGTTGTGAATATTAGGAGACCGGATAGATTTATATTGCATCTCGAGTTGTGAAAAAAAATGAGTAAATTGTCGTTTCGGGCACGGGCGCTGGACGCTTCCAAGCCACTACCCGTCTTCCGTTGTGAGGATTTACCCGACCTACACGAATATGCATCAATTAACCGGGCAGTGCCGCAGATGCCGACGGGGATGGAGAAAGAAGAGGAATCGGTAGGCTTTCGCCGTTTGAATTTTTTCAAATGATGCGTTTTGTGTAATTTTTATACGATCGGCGGCGTCCCTCTTTTTTTCTGCGCCAGCTTTCACAAAATGGCCGCCAATTTTCTCAGGAGAAACACGACGGATTTATGCCTCAAACGGCCGGTGTTGGGGATTTGGACCGGCGTTTGGGTTTCACCGGGACTCAGTGGGTCGATTTTGGATATAAATTCCAGGTTCTGTCGGCATATTTGAGCATGAGGCGATTTTCTGAGTACAAAGGAGTCATGTGACCTGAGCAATTCCGACATTTTGTTTCGTCTGTCAGGACGGGGCCTTGTGTTGGCGTAATTGCAGAGGACCGGGGCAAGGGGGAGCTAGTGGTTTCAGATAATATGGCATCTGCCGTTAGCAGACACAAATGTCAACAGTCCTGCTGTGAAATTTTGGGGGGAAAAGACACTCATGGCGTCTGAGAGGCTCTGCTTTAAACGGGGAAGGTGTGGTTTCTGTCACTTTCATGGCCGGAGGCTCTTGGTGTCTGTTCATTTGCGAACTGCATCTGCGTGTGTTGTTTTCATTCATTGCAACAATAGTAATAATTGTTTGAACAGGAAACGCGTTGGGTTTGCTATCAGGCCCATGCAGCTGTCACAGACGTGTATAATCTCCCTTTTAGCAGAGGGGATTTCTCCTAAACTGTGTTTACTTTCCTCTGCGGATAACAGGAAAACTCCCCCCTGCACTTACCACTGTTGACATAAAGAGTTGTCCCACTGAAACCTGAAGAGATTCAGACCTGTCAGTCCTCATGTGTTTGCCCCTGGTGCCTGTTATGCCTCATTTATTTATTCTCTATACCTGCCACATGCTTTTCAGAGAGGGCTTTTCTTTGCTGCTGAGCCAGCAGTCGTGACTGACGTTAAAAATGAGGCCAAGTAGATGGGAAACCTCTCTGCAGGGGCCGGGTGGGCGCTGAGGAAATGGGAGGTTTGGTGTCAGGGGTTCAGTGTGTCAGATGGCAGACCGGCGGCACATGGCCCTCTGGAGGAGATCAGGGTGGCGGGAAGGAGGAGGAGGAGGAGGAGGGGGGTTGTTGTCAGCATGAAGCCTGCTCTGCTCAGCTGGAGTGTGTGTGGTTATGTAACAGTAGTATTATCAGAAGGTGGGCCATCCTCTCTGTTTGCAGCTGCCCCTTTTGGATATTTATGTTTTGAACCTTTTTGGGGGGGCTAGCACAGCTCCATGAGTCAGTTCTGGGTCTATGCTGTCTTTGAGGATGGTTTTTTTATTTTTGAACAGGCAGAAAAAAGCCACATGGTGTCTGTTTGGTGGGCAGCCATAGTGTCCCTCTGTTTCCCGCCTCTCTAATGGGGGGGCTCTCACCTCGCAGGTTAAAGGTCATCTGAACCGGCCCTGTGCCCCTCCTTTTTTTCGGGAGCTAAATTCGGCCGGTGGTTGCGTAGCACGGCGTCACTGGAAGTCCTCCAGCACGTGCGGCGTGTTTGTTTTGGGTCGCACACACTTTGTCTTGTGTTTACGTTTGGGTGAAAGTGAGGTCAGTGTGTGTGTGTGTGTGTGTGTGTGTGTGATCCTGTGGGAACCACAAGCATCTGCTGGCTTCCTCTGCCAGACGCCGCTCTGCGCTGACCTTGCTGGGTGGGAATGTGGGGCATGTCACCTGTCAAAAGGGCCTGCTGCCGGCATGGGAGGCCAATTTGGCCGCTCCCTCGAAAGCAACTCCTCAAAATAAGTGAATTCCTCTGATTTTGTTCCTGTTTGAGTCATTTCAAACATCTTTGTGAAAGGAAGCTGGTGGATTCTCCGGAGTCTAAAGGCTGCTGGTGATTGGTCCCTGGTAAATCTCACGCCTCCAGCAGCTGTCCATCAACGCTAAACGCCGTTTGTCCGTCCGAGTTTCTCAGCAGACCAGGCTGTGATCGATGTGGTCGTTTTAGAGGCTATTTCTGGACTCTGTTTTCTGACTGACTTCCAGCTCGGGGGAAGATGACAAACGCTAAGCGTGATTTGCTTTGGCAGCTGCCGTGCTTTCATTCTCCCTCCAGGCTATTTTATTTATTTATTTTTTTTACTCATTGACAAGTACAGCCCCCAAAGGATGAGTGTGTGGGTGTTCACTCTGTGAATGACTCGGTGGACGTCACTCCAGCTGGACACGCTTAAACAGCAGGTTCTGATCATGGACCCAGAAGCAGATGGTAGATGCAACTCCAATCTGGATATTCGTCTCTAAACATTGTGGATCGGCATCCGTTATGATGTTTGACGGTCTTTTATGAGCTCCAGATGTGGCTGTCTGCAGATGTTGTTGTAGCTACAAGCCCGCCTTAATCCCGATTCATTTCAGCCTTTTATAAGACACTCATTCCCCAAAGTTTGTCCACTTTTTAGAGCAGCGTTTTTCAGCTCCAGCACACCTGATCAGTCCTCTGAAGGCCGGTCCCGTTCATATCAATTAGACACCGGTTTAGAGGCCTGTCCTGTTTTCTGTGTAGTAATGTGGACGCAAAAAGAGAATCAGGCAACAAAAAACAGAGTTTAAAGACCTCGATGTTTTGGAAAACAACAATAATTTCAGAGCGCCCCTCTGTCGAAGTTCAGGTACCCATCGGTCTGGTCGTTTTTTTGGGGTTACAGGAAGCTTGAATCGGTACAGAATGATTCAATGTGAAGCACTGCTCAGATTTAGTGTTTTTTGGTCCTTAAAACAAGCTGATGTTGAAACCTGGGGCCCAGCTGAAGAGTGGTTTCAGGAGAAGTTAGGAGAATTCCCGATCATGGAGTCAAACTGTTTGAATTGTGTAAGCGTAATATGAATAATTATAAACATGAATTTAAAAGTACTTTGTTTTTTCCTGAATGTCAACAAGTAAACTTGGACCTCAAAAATTGATTGAAGACCAAATAAAAACTTAGTTTTTTAAGTCATCTGACCACATGGGGGGAAAGCAGCCTGTGAAAATCCAAAATTTAGGAGTACTCTGGGCAAATGCGTTTTTTCTGTTGAGTGATTTAGGGTTTTGATATTTCTTTAAGACCAGAAAATCTGGAAGAAAGTTTCCATTTCAGGATTAACAGGTTTAAGGTTCTCATTTCACACTTGGAAAATAAGAAGGAGCAACAGGAGTTTAGGGCTCAGAGCTGTGGGGAAACTTCTGGAAGGTCACAGATCGCACTGGGATGGATTCCTGAGCTTGTTTGTAGGGATGTTGGAGTTAATCTGTAAGTGTTCGCAGCCCCTCCGATGGTCTGTTTCACAAGCTGAGCTCCAGATGTTGGTCCAGCTCATAACACCCCGTCTGGCCTTTCCAGATGTGTGGTGAGCCGCCCGTTTAGGGAAAACTGAGCCGGGATGGAGCTCGCTCTGGAGCTGGTTTGTTTTGATGATGGGAAATGTGCCTTTACCTCATACCTGCTGGTTGTGTCTGTTGCTGTGTGACGTCCTAAATGAGAAACAACCCTCTCTCCCCCCCCGGGGAAAACGATTAGCACCCGCCGTTGGCCCGGTGCCCAGTTTGGGCCAACAGCCTCGTAGTAAACCAGTTAGTCAGCACGCCATGGCGCGCGGCCTGTGGCCAAAGACGAAGCGTTTGGGGGTGGAAGAGGTGTCAGGTTTTCCTCCATGATTGTTCTGTGTTTCTGGAAACGGTTCAGTTTGCTCTTTGCTCTCCTTTTGGACTTCCTCTGCCGTCTCCTGTCTGTTGGGCTTTAATCCGCCGCCCCACAGCCTCAGTAATCCATCAGCAAAAACGCCTTTTTAAACATTTTTCTTTCTTTTTTGTTTTAACTGTAGTTTATGTGCTTCTCCTCTGGCTGCCATCTGATCCTCCAGACATTTTCTAGACAAAAACAAGTGTCGGCTGACTTGTGAAGTGTCCATCTGCTGCCAGAAATTGTTATTTTCTTTCTTTGCCCTTTAAAGCAGATATGTGCGCGTCTTGTTTGGATCAGATGAAGCCGGGAGCTTTTTAAGCCCCTAAATGTTCATTCTGACAGGCCGTGAGAAGTGGAGTTGTTTGCTTTCTTCTACAAGTTCAGAAGCTTTTTGGGCTGTGATGTTCAGAAATGTACCGCTGTTTAAAAAAAAAAAAAGCGAAACATTGCATTTAAATGCATCAGATTTTAACCAAGTCTGAAGAGAGTCTGCAAGAAGAACTCTGCCTCCACCAGGAAAGGGATTTTATTTGGGGCCTCAAACATATTAAGCTAGCTAAACCAGCCTGAGTTTAGAGGTTTAGTTTAAAATATTCTCTGATATGAGGATGTATTTTGGCTGAAAACAGAACGTGAACATAGTTGGTTAAGTGTAAACTTGAGATATGGACCAGTGTGTTTGTGGCTTCACACTTAGACTTGTAGTTTAATTTCCTAAGGGAGTCTTCCCAAGGGATCAATAAAGAAATTCAGTGTGTGGAATCAAGTTGTATACATGGTAAACAAGATGACTTTTTCTGTAGGCTGGTTGGCATTCTGGTCCTCGATAAGAGACCACATGGAACCGTTCAGGGCCGGAGACGAACTGTATGAAGTCCTCGGGGGTCCGTTTGTCTCACCCCTGTCTGGTCTCTGCAGGAACACCACCTCCAGCGGGCCATCTCAGCGCAGCAGGTCTACGGCGAGAAGCGGGACAACATGGTCATCCCGGTTCCCGAGGCGGAGAGCAACATCACCTACTACGAGTCCCTCTACCCCGGAGAATTCAAGATGCCAAAGCAGCTAATTCACATACAGCGTGAGTGGGCTTTCCCTGATTCGGCCTCCGAGCCGCAGAAATAAGGTTTTCACGATGCTAAAATGTTCAACTCGATACCGATACTCAGGAAAATACTCTGTGCCATTTTCGATAACACAAGGATAAAAACAAAGACCCCTAAATGTAACAGAATTTTGACAGGTTGGTGTCTTTGGTTTCAAACTGACTGTTACTGATGTTATGGTGGCCGGTGGCCCGCTTTAATATTGGTGTGTAGTTATTAGCAATTAGCCACAGCTAGCAATTCAAGGCTAACGTCACGTTAATGATCATAAACAACAGGTGGTATTGATACTTTTGAAAATGGGTATTGTATTCGGATTAGGCTTGTCTCGATCCGATCCATGAAGTTATCAGAGTAAATCCCTGTTCAACATGAGTCTGACAACCAAGTAAGTAGATAGATAACTTTAACACATGCTCTGATAGGCCGGGATCGGATAGGAAGTGAAAAAGGCTGGATCGGGACATCCCTAATCTGGATACAACATTCTAGTATCTATTCTTTTTTTGAGTATCGATACTTTTGACAACCCTATGCAGAAAGCAGGAAAAGCTCTGCTAGGGAGGCGGTTTCTGCTCTAATCTGTTATCTTACTCTGGCCCATCGGCGCGGTTCCTGATGGTTCTGCAGCCGTCGCATCGATTAGGAAACGGTTTTCTGTTTCTGGTGAGGGAGTCTGCCCCCAGCGCTGTGCCGTCGGGCTGCCGTTTACTCTGCTGCTGTATGTTGGTCAGAGTAAATGAATTTGAGGCCGGTCTGCTCTGTAATATCGGAGGAAATGAGTTTGCTGGATTGCCTCGTTCGGCCGGCGCGTCACAAGCGGCCAAAGCAATTGTTTCTCTGAGAAAAAGCAATTTGCCGTCCCCCGAACAGGCCGGCCGCTATCAGCTGGAGGCCGAAATTACCGGCGTTTGGTCCCGACACGAGCTGTCGGGCTGATTTCAGGGTGGCTCTCGGAGGCCGTGGCAGTGTGAGGCGTGCAGATAGATGGGTTAGCTTACCGCTAATGGTCAGAGCTAAGAGGCCCGCTCCGATTCTGAGGGGTCCACTGTGAGGGTGGAGCTCCCAGCGAGGCGTTCAGGGACGCTTTTATTGTCTGATTCACCCCAAATAAATCAGGAACACAAAGTCAAATGTGTGGTTTTAGCCACATTTGTGAGGTCTGTGGGATCAATGTGAGCCTTCAGCATCTTTGGGAACCTGATGTTTAGGGATGTCCCGATCCAGCTTTTTTCACTTCCGATCTGATCCCGGCCTATCAGAGCATGTGTTAAAGTTTAAAGTTATTTATCTACTTACTTATTTATCAGACTCATGTTGAACAGGGATTTACTCCAACAACTTAATGGTTAGGACACAGACCTGTGGGTTACGAGATGCTAATGCTGATGCTAAAACTGGATCTGGAGTCTGCATTTTCTCCTGCCGGCCGGTACGCTTTTTTTTTTTTTTGAAAATATCGGCGGCCTATCCGGTCCAGATATGGGATTGGGACAAGCCTACAGCTGTTTTTCTCACTCTGGTTTTAAAGATTGGAAACGGGTCCAGAGATGGTGGTTTAATGTCATAATGCAGTAGTTCTACACAGCAAACAGCTGGCAATGATTATTTAGTTTAAAAGAAAAAAAATCTAAGCAATCCAGTTTTTTTTTTAGTTTTTTTTTTTTAATGGCTTCAGGCATTTTTTGGCATTTCTTTGAGGTGAGAGGTTTCTGGATAAGAGCCGACCTCTCGGGCAGGTGTCCTGATGCAGCCAACGGCCTTTTGCTCCGTTTGTTTGGGAACATTTTGGGTTCCTGGTGGAAACTTGAGCAGCAACAGATGAGACGTAAATGATGATAAATGGTGCTGTGCAGTGTCCCGACATGGACCCGTCTGCTCTGATTCTTTTACTTAAGATTTATGCTCAGTTAGGTCACATACAGGCTCAGTTGGTATTTAACTTGTTTTGTAGTTCCTGCTCAGTTATTGATCAACCTGCATTGTTTCGTGTGGCTTAAAACTTTTTTTAAAAGATCATTTTCCTGTCAGGGTCTCGTTGCACCCCCGATTTTTTTTTGTGGTTTTTTTCAGTTTTGTTACGTCACTGTATTTAGTTTATTTGATCAGGAGCAGAAAAAAAAGGGCAATTTAATTTAGATGCACTGAAATGAGTGCTTGATGTTGGTGATTTTCCTGCAGTTTTACTGAAGAAAACGGTAAAAAGTTGAAGTTTCCTTCATGCTTTGAGGGGTTCAAATCGACCTTATGTGGTGGAGACAAGTGATTTTGAATTATTAGCTGATTTTTCTGATAAATGGTGCGTGAAACTTGCATTTTCAGAGGTTTTCAATGGGAGCTTTTTTTTGTCTCGTCGGGTTTTGTCTAGATTTGTCATTTTGGGCTAAATTATGGTGCTTGGACCACTACAGCACATTTAAAATGATTAAAGAACAGATGAATGAATTTATCCTCGTATGTTGCTCAGGGATCTGAAACATGGGTCTGCTTACCTGCAGGTTTTAGACGTTCCCTTCTCAAACGTGCTGATTCAGATTTGTGTCCGACTGCTAATCTTGATTTATCTGAATAAGCTTTGCTTCATCAGATAAATCCCTTAAAACATGATGTGCCCATCAGATATCCATATAAATCTAAATGCAACCATCCACCTTTGTGTGGCTGATAGGGTTGCCACGATACTAAAACTTTCAACTCGATACCAATACTCAGGAAAATATTTGATACTTAGGTTAGTGTCTTTTTCAAAGTTACCTATTACTGATGATATGGTGGCCGGTGGCCCACATTAATGACCCTAACCCTCCACCCTTCATAATTATGAGAAATAAATATTTTTTGGTTAAACTTGTTTGGACTTGTCAGTAATCGGTACTTTTGAAAATGAGTATCGTATCCGGATACAGCGTTTTAGTATCAACACTTTTTTGAGTATCAATACTTTTGGCAACCGTAGTGGCTGATGTTTGTGCTTTGGTTTGATGGCTGACGGGGAGTTTGGGTTATTCTGCCGTTTCGTCTGGACGCTGTGAGCTGAGTTTTGCTTCCCCTCTGCAGCTTTCAGCTTGGACACGGAGCAGCCGGACTACGACTTAGACTCGGAGGACGACGCCTTCGTCAACAAGCTGAAAAAGAAGATGGAGATCAGCTGCCTGCAGTTCGAGGAGATGATTGACCGTCTGGAGAAGGGCAGCGGACAGCAGGTCAGAACCGTTTCCTGCTTGTTCGGCCATTTGACCGTTTTAGAGTTTGTCTAAAACGGGACCCCCTGTATTTGCCGCTCAGCTGGTGAGTCTCCCCGAAGCCAAGCTGCTGCTGAAGGAGGACGACGAGCTCATCAAGGAGGTGTTCGACTACTGGAGCCGCAAGAGGAAAAGCAGCAAAGCCAACTGCCTCCTCTCCAACGTCAAGCAGGAGAAGCGGGACGGCTCCAGCACCAGCGACCCGTACGTGGCCTTCCGCCGCCGCACCGAGAAGATGCAGACCAGGAAGGTGAGTCCACACACACACACACACACACACACACACACACACACACACACACACAAATACACACACACACACACCCTGTTGGCCACTTTGGGAGAGGGCTCTGAGGCCGTTTGTTGTGATTAGGGATGTCCCCATCCAGCTTTTTTCACTCCCGATCCCGGCCTATCAGAGCATGTTAAAGTTTAAAGTTATTTATCTACTTACTTATTTGTCAGACTCATGTTGAACAGGGATTTACTCTGATAACAACTTAATGGTTAGGACACAGACCTGTGGGTTAGGAGATGCTAATGCTAATGCTTGTGTGGGATCGGGACATGCCTAGCTGGGATTCTGTTCAGATGTAGTTGTCATTAGATGATTTTTGTTCCCTGGGACAGTTTGATTCTGGAAACTCGGATCAGTTTGCTCTGAACTCTTCACATTCTTTACAAACCCTCAGTCACCGTGTGCGATCAAACCAGTTTTCTGTTCTAGAGAAGCGTGTTTGGATTCATGGAAGCTCATTTAAAGGCTTTAACTGTTGTTTTTGGATTAGTTTGATCCCTTTCTAAAGTCAGTACGTCATAACTTTGGCTTTTTGAAATGTAAATTACAGTTTTGCTCCTTTTACTGCCGTTAAAAGCTGAAGTGTTCTAACTAAAGCTGGACATGAACATGATCCGTCAACGTGAGCATCTGCTCAATTAACCCATTTTCATGTAAAACTTCTTTAAATTTCTATACTGAATCAAAATTTTTGGGAATGTGTGATCATTTTCTGATTCGCGCTGAAGCAGTCGGCTTGACAGCTGGGACTATCTGCCAACATTAAAAATACTGAAATGGTTTTAAATAAAAACAGGGAAACAAAAAATCAGATTTTTTACCAAGTAGTCAAACGGACTTGGAGGACAAAAGGTGCCCAAAAAAGGGCCAAAAAGTGAAGTCTGAATCTTCAGCCTCAGCAGTCGGGCTCACTTAAAGGATGTAGTGATCTAGTTGGAGCACACAGGTTTAAAATAAACGTATTAATACCTCTGAGACCAAAGATGGCCTTAAAATCAGAAAACCCGACACCAACAGGTTCTCCTGGTCCAGATCCTGATGTGATATGATCCTGAAATGTCCCGCAGACCTAAAACCTAAGACAGCGGGGTCAAATCTTTTCAAAAACAGGCACCCAGAGTGCTGTGTGACCCAGTAAAAACACTCGGACACCCGATTATCCTCCTCTCAGAGGGCGTCCGCTCACAGATATGCTGTTTTTCCCTCTTTCAGAACCGTAAGAACGACGAGGCGTCCTATGAGAAGATGCTGAAGCTCCGCAGGGACCTGAGCCGAGCCGTCACCATCCTGGAGATGATCAAGAGGAGGGAGAAGAGCAAGAGAGAGCTGCTGCACCTCACACTGGAGATCTTTGAGAAGAGGTAGGCCGCTCTTCACCCCGATAAAAACACATAGCTTTTCATTAAACTCGACCCAAACCGGTTTTCCTCCTTCCAGGTTGATGGTTTAGCTTTTACTTCCTTACTGGCAAGAGGCCGTTTCCTTATTCTCTGCGGGTCTTTTTTTTTTTTTTTTTTAAAGCTGCAGATCAGATGTGAAGTGAAGGCTAACTGATAAAAGCCTCTTTGGCTCTGATCCAGCTTCTCAGGAGTTGCTGAGATTAGATGCTTGTATTGTAGAAGTCAGCACGTGGGCTCTGGTTTTGTCTGCGTTCACAGAGGAGTTCGGGTTTGTCAGCTTTCAGAACCAGACGACCAATTTATGGATGTCCTGATCCAGCTTTTGGCCTATCAGAGCATGTATTAAAAGTTAGTTATTTATCTACTTAGTTAGCTGTCAGACCCATGTTGAACAGGGATTTACTGTTAATGGTTAGGACCATTAACAGTAAACTTAATGGTTAGGACACAGACCTGTGGGTTAGGAGATGCTAATGCTATTGCTCGTGTGGGATCGGACTTAAAAAAAAAAACTGGATCTGGAGTCTGGATCTGCATTTTCTCATGCCGACCGATACACATTTTTGTGCAAATATCACCATCCGATCCAAATATCGGACCGGGAAAAGCCTAGACCAATTAAAACCAAATGAGCAGCTAACAGGTTTTTCTGCTCACATCGTATCATGAAGTATCTATCGGCTAAATCAGAGCATGTGGGGGATTATTGAGACATGGGTCAAAGGTCAACCATCAACAAACATGGCGGTCGTCTCCCGTTTTCCCAGGAACGTGATGTCGGACTACGGTGGGGAGGTGATGGCCGAGGTCCTGGCTGAGCGGGCGCTGGTGAGGCCCCAGATCATCCCCCTGGTTCCCCTCACCAACCAGTACCGGCACCAGGACCACATGGACCTCAAGGACTACAAGTCCAAGGTGAGAGGGCGCCGCTTTTTTTCTGGGAAAGCGGGCGGCGTTCCCGATCTCGGAGCGACGACGTTACGTAATTTAATTACCAAAAAAGAGTAACTGTAATTCGTTACAGTTACAATGAGAAAATATGTAATTCAGTTACAGCTACTTCGGAAAATATTAAGAATTACAAATTTAGTTACATTTTTTTTTAAATATAAAGAAAAACCTTTGCGAAATATGCAACTCACTGATTGACCAAGCGTATTGATTTACTAATATTTGACTGTTTGGTGTTGATGCATGACAAACGTTTATCGATGTCTATGACCTAGCCTAGCCTAGACTACCTAGCATACCCTACTGTAGGGTGACCAGACGTCCTCTTTTTCCCGGACATGTCCTACATTTCAGACTAGGGTTGTCAAAAGTAAGAATAAAATGTTGTATCCGGATACGATACTCATGTATCGATACCACTCCCCCCTCCGCCCCTTGTCTCCGATTTATTTATGGATTTATTTATGTCATTTATGATCATTAACAAGACGTTAGCCTTGAACTGCTAGCTGCGGCCAATAGCTAATAATAACATGCTAAAATTAATCATGGGTCAATACTCATTAAAACCTTAAAGTAATCAAAAGTAATTAGTGACATTACTTTTTAAAAGTAATCGAAAAAATTACACTACAATTACATTTTAAACAAGGTAACTTGTAACTATAACGGATTACATTTTTAAAGTAACTTACCCAACACTGCTAACGGCGTCTCTTGCCCCCCCCCTCCAGCCCGAGAAGACGGAAGCCCCCCGGCAGAAGAGGAAATATGAGAAGAAGCAGAAGGTGCTGCCTCTGTCGACGGGCGCCGCCCACCACCCCGGCCCCGCCGCCTTCAACCCCAAGGACCTGAACCAGTACGACTTCCCCAGTTCAGACGACGAGCCCTTCTCCCAGGTACGCTGAGCTCACCTGAGCACACCTGAGCTCATCTGAGCACGCCGGCTCACCGGTTTGGACTCCGAGGCCTTTGTTTTTGTTTGTTTTGTTATTTATTCTGATCTTAAATCACTGCTGATTGATTCAGTTCTGGGATCCATTCTGAGCCAAACACCCTTTTCTGTTTCCCAACCGTGTTGACGCACCCCCAATCCCCCACAACTTAAAAAAAAAATAAAATGACATTTTTTATTACAGCCATTAAAGGTGGCATGTCTCACCTGATAGTTTCCCTGATTTCAGCCAATTGATCATATTTGCAAGAATGAATCAATTAGAAGGAACAAGCTTTCTGACTTATATATTTAATCTTAAAAGGAATTGTAGAAGACTACTTCTTCTAAATTAATACATTTTTCATGTGAATACATTCTTATTAAAATGACAGTTTTTTTTATTTTGATATTCACAAAAGTGTTTATTTACACGTCCTTATGGTGTGGGGGAAAAACACTATAATTATGTAATAATCAGACTAAGACTGAGCCTGACACTCTGACCTTTGACCCCTGACCTCTGCCCACAGCTGCACTCGGGCTCCTCGGAGGCGGAGGAGGAGAACGACCCAGACGGTGCCTACGCCTTCCGCAGGAAAGCCGGCTGCCAGTACTACGCTGTAAGCAATCCAGCTTTTTTCACTTCCGATCCTGGCCAATCAGAGCATGTTACAGTTTAAAGTTATTTATCTACTTACTTAGTTGTCAGACTCATGTTGAACAGGGATTTACTCTGATAACAACTTGATGGTTAGGACACAGACCTGTGGGTTAGCAGATGCTAATGCTAATGCTAATGCTCCGATATTTGGACCGGCTCGACCACCGATAGTTGCAAAAAAATATGTGTATCCAGACTCCTGATCCAGTTTTTTTTTTAGCATTAGCATCTGAAATAGGCTAGGGCTAGGGATGCCCCGATCCAGCTTTTTTCCCTTCCGATCCCGGCTTATGAGAGCATGTGTTAAAGTCATTTATCTATTTACTTAGTTGTCAGACTCATGTTGAACAGGGATAACAACTTAATGGTTAGGACACAGACCTGTGGGTTAGCAGATGCTAATGCTAATTCTCGTTTGGGATTGGACTTATAAAAGAAAACTGGATCTGGAGTCTGGATCAGTATTTTCTTCTGCCGGCCGATACGCATTTTTTTGCACATATCGGCGGCCGGTCCGATCCAGATATGTGATTGGGACCAACATAACCCGGTGTGTCCTGGTTGCAGGCCCGTCCGGACCGCGTGGGCAGCTGGCCGTGGATCGGTCCCTGGGACGGCGGCGTGGCCGACGACCGTTTCCGCTACAGCCTCACCACCCTCACCGTCCCCCGCCGCTGCCTGGGCCCGGCCCGGCGCCGCGTGGGCCGGGGCGGAAGGTCAGTGGGCAAACCCCTATCCATCCATTAAATCTAAATTTAATAGATGGTTTTGAATGATTTAATTTTAAATGAGGACTTTTAATTAAGGTTAAATAAATAGGCAGTTACCTAAATAAATAGGTGGGTAAAGCCAGCATTCCTGTATGTGTGTGTGTGGGGTATGTGGGTATATCTCTTTATATATATATACATTTGTGTGTGTGTGAGTGTGTGTGTGTATATATATATATATATATATATATACATACATACATACATACATACATACATACACACACAAGAATGCTGGTGCTGCATCCAACCAGTTGTCATTTTACTGAATTACCTATTTATTTAACCTTAATTAAAAGTCCTTATCTGAAATTAAATTATTCAAAACTATCTATTAAATTTAGATTTAATAGATAGCTTTTGAAGGATTTAATGATGATGATGTGATTTTCTGGAATTTTCTTTGGGATTCTGTCTTTCACTGTTAGAATGTACATATGATTAAAGTTATAGATCGTTGCATTCTTTGTAAGTGGGCAAACCGGTAAAATCAGCAAGGGGTCAAATACTTATTTCCCCCACTGTATATATACACACACAGGAGTGCTGGTGTTGCATCCAACCAGTTGTCATTTTACTGAATTACCTATTTATTTAACCTTAGTTAAAAGTCCTTATTTGACATTAAATCATTCAAAACTATCTATTGAATTTAGATTTAATTGATAGTTGTATACCACATTAGGGAATAAGTGCTAACGATAATGGATGGAGATAGAGATATAGATGTGTGTGTGTGTGTGTGTGTATATATATATATATATATATATATATATATCTCCCGATTTCCCACATAGTGTTACTCTTCCCCTCTGACCTGACCCTCCCCTTCCTGCAGGGTGCTGCTGGACCGGGCGCACGCCGACCCCGATGGCGTTTTCCACGGCCTGGACCCGGACGCCCTGGACCTGCCCCCCCCCTCCTCGCCCCCCCCCTCGGCCACCTCTCGCTCGCCGGCCACCGACAAGCTGGCCAGTACCTCAGAAACAAATACCTCGGACAGAAGCTGCTCCCTCGGCCCCCCCCGCCGGCCCCCGCCCTCCACGGACCTCAGTCAGATACTGTTGAACATAAAGGCGTGCCGCTGGAGGCACTTTAGACCTCGGACACTACCACTACAGGAGCTGGACCACGCCCACCCGCTGTTCAGGAGGCTGAGCCGGGGCCTCCGCCGGCCGCCGCCCGGCCCGGGCGGGGGGGCGCCGTTCGGAGCCCAGCGCCCGCACAGGGCGGTCCCCACTGCCCCTCCGGCTGCTGGTGAGTGGCTACACCCCCATTTAAGGCTTTACGGTTCACAGGTCGGCCCCCCCCTCCCCGTGCAAACACCATAGTTTTCTATAGTTTTCTAGACTGAAAAAGCTCCGGTTGGTCTGACATCCACAAAAGCAAAGAGGGTGCACAAACAGGCCCGTTTTCCTCAGTCTTCCTCATGGTATTTTTGGCTCAGACTAGCCTATTCCCGATCCAGCTTTTTTTCACTTCCGATCCCGGCCTATCAGAGCATGTGTTAAAGTTTAGAGTTATTTATTCTACTTACTTAGTTGTCAGACTCATGTTGAACAGGGATTTACTCTAACAACTTAATGGTTAGGACACAGACCTGTGGGTTAGCAGATGCTAATGCTATCGGCGGCCGATCCAATCCAGATATCGGATCGGGATGAGTCTAGCTCAGACAGACTTGTGCCTTCTTGTTAGGTGACAATCGCAGAACTTTTAAAGAGTTCACCGTCATTTAAAAAGTGCTGTGAGGTGAGCAGCTTTAACGGGAGTCCAGACGGAGTCGAATCGCATTTCGCCTGTCAAGTTTAAAAACAGTTGTAACAAGGTCTGGAGAAGTGTTTTCCTCCAGGTGCTTTGCTTCCTCTGAATCTCATCGGTCTGGTTCTAATCGCAGCTGT